CAGCATGCCAGGGCAGTGGCCTCCTCACCCGCGCGGCCCTGCGAATCTGGAGACAGCCGGGGTGGGTCACCTCGTGGCCACCCTCTGCGGGGACCGCCGCGTGGTCCTTGGGTTCATCCCCCTCCCCAAGCGCCGACCCCACAGCTTCCAGCGCACGTCGCGCCCTCTAATTCTGAAGCACAAGTCCGATGAGATCCACCAGACCTGAGGGATGGCCTCCAAGGCCTCCTTCCCAGCAAAGAACTGGCGAAACTTCCACCCGCTCCGGGCGGCGCAGGATGGAGCTGCGAAGTATTATTAGTTATTTAAAAATAACTAGCTGAGAACTGCTTCCAGGCTCTGCGGGACTGTGGGCAGCAACTCAGAGATAAAAGGCAGCTCAGCAGGGTCCCTGTCCCGTGGGTCATGCAGCCTTTCCAGGCCCTTTGCTTTCTAACCGTGCGGGTTATTTATACACACAGCAATCTCGTCTGGTGGAAGGTTTTTTTTTTTTTTTTTTTTGGGGGGGGGGCATCCGCGCTTCAGGCGAGCCAAGCAACCTCTGCTTTTGCTCCAGCCTCCTGCCCAGCAAGTCTGGCCATCCCACTGGCAGGAATCGAGCGGTTCCCATCACCAAACCGTCACCCGTGGGGCCAAACCATCACCCAGGGAAGGAGGCAGAGGGCTGGAGACAGAGCCAGGCCCGTGCATTTTCTTCTGCAGGCTTTAGCTGGGTCTTCACCATCCGGACAGGTTGTGTGAAAGCCAAAACATTTAGTGCATGGGTAATAACAGCGGATGGCAGGAGTATGTGCACAGTTATAAACAGTTTGTGTTTTATTCTTCCCAAGGAGACACTGGAGAGCAAACAGAGCTTTTCTAGCCATGAATGAATGTACAAACTAAAACAGTAATAGGCACCTTTTCACTCCCTTCCCTTCCCTGACAACAGTGAGATCTGGTATAACGCCTCCCTGCTATGTCAGTGATGAGTAGCAATCGTAATTATCCACCCCGGCCACAAATCTACGAAGCTCTGTAGCGTATTGCGCTGAGAGATTGTTTTCCTCTCTAATTTTCACCTTTTGGATTTTCGCTCCATCTGTTTTAAAACTAAATGAAATGAAGAAATGCATCTTTGTTCAAATGATAAGCCCACTTTTGAAAGCAAGACCCAGGAAGTAACGTCACTGTGTTGAGACATATGTGACAGAATTGAAATAAATTATGAATATCAATTTTTGACCTGACTGGAAATTGTTGGATTTGATCTTAGGAGACTACAGAATTTCTTGTCTAAGAAGTAAAAACGTTTGAATACCACAAATGAGGGCAAAGGCCGAAGCAGCAGTTTTAATTCATAGCTTTTCTTCTTTGACTAATTTCAGTAACCTTTTTTCTCTGACCTTTGGATGAGGGACACATCTTCATCCCTGGTGGTTGTGGGTGCAATCCACTTTGAAAGAGGTTTGTGATGGAAAGGGTGGCAAAGGCACTGCCTAAAAGGAAAGATTCAACTTGGGAAATATTCTCCCTCCTTTTGCATAGTCTTAAAGTCCACTGCAGAACTGCTGCGTTTTTGCTATTATTCTTATTAGTCAGTAATTTGTTGGCAGTTAGAGAGAAAAAGGAATCTGGAGAATTACAACCTTGCCAGCGAACGACAGAGTCACAGAAAGGCACGCTGAGGTCTTATCTTTGCAAGCAAAAGTAGCACTTTAGAGCATCATGGCTACACAGAAAAAAGAGTCAGATTTTCATTTTATCAGTGTCTCTGGAGCAACTGGACTGTTACTTGCAGCCCCATGCCTTAGGCGGAGCACCACAGTACTGGAAATGGCTTTAAACGGAGATTTCTTTTTTTTTTCTCTCTCCAGATGTAAAGATGTAGCAATCTCCTTTCTCAATGCATCCTCTTTTCCTCTGACCTGCCTCGCCCTGCTGTTGTCCTTACTGTTTTCAGAGCTGCTGGTCCCCGAGCACGCAGGGGGGTGTGTGTGTATGTTTGGGGGGGGGGAGTTTGATGGGTTCGGAAGAAGACCCAGGCTCATTTTTGACAAGTTTGGTTCAAGTCAGCGTTGCAACTGTTGATATTTCTAAGGGCTTGTCCCGAGGCACACGCCTGGTTGACAGGACCAGGTATAACCAAGCACTGCGGAGAGGTCCCAGCGTGTACCCCACCGGGGCATCTTCAACACCGCCTTCCATTTCCTGATGGCAAAGAGGCCACCAGCGCCCATCGGAGCTCCTGCTTCACACTCCAGCTCCTTCCGTGACCCGAAGTCACAAGTTGTCTCATTGTCCTGGGTTGAGTGAGTGGTGGAGTTTTTTGGTGGCAGGGGAGGGGGCTATCGGGGTGGCCCCCTGTGAGAAGCTTCTCGAAGCTCCCCCAGCTCCACGCCAGCTCCACTTCTGTTTGGGAAATTGAGCCCATCAGCTGCGCCTCTGCGATAACGTATTTAAGAAGGGACGTGGTGAAGAGTTGGACTTGTGAGGAGGAGTCGCTGCAGCTGCGTGAACACCAAGGTCAGTGGAGGAACGGAGGAAGAAAGGAGGGGGGAGGTGTGCCAGAGCAGAGACCCCCCTGTATCCTGTGGGGAGACGGCAGGGCGGCCCCCCCCCGCCACCCATGGAGATCTACGGTGGAGCAGACATTGATTTATGGCCTGTTGCTCCTGCTCAACTGATCAAGGTTCTGTGCCCAAAGAAGGCCGGGGTCTCATGGGAAGAGGCAGCCCCGCTGCTGTAATTCAGTGCTGGGAGGATTGCAGCATGCGGGGGAGTCCCACGCCGGAGCAGCTCGGGAAGGGCTGCAGCCATGGGAGGGAATCCAGTCGGAGGAAGTTATGACCCATGACGGAGCAGTGTGGGGAACGCTGCGGCCCGTGGGAGGAATTCAAGTCAGAGAAAGTTTGTGGAGGACTGTCTCCTGTGAGAGGGGGACCACGATGGAGCAGGGGGTAACGAGTTTTGGCCACTCCCCTCACCGAAGATGAAGGAAGCGGCAGCACTGACTGCACCCCCCATTCCCTGCCCCTGCGCCACTGGGGGAGGAGGTAGAGATATCGGGAGCAGAGCTGAGCCCGGGAAGAAGGGAGGGGTGGGGGGAAGGTGTTCTCAAGATGTGGCAATGCTTCTCACTGTCCTACTCTGTTACGTGTTGCTAGTGTCTGTAATAAATCTATGTTCTTTTTTTTCCTCCCCTAACGAGTCTGCCTTTTGCTCGTGATCATAAAAGGGGGATTTTTCCCCATCCCAGTCCTATCTCGAACCCCAAGCCTGGCTCTCTGTCCCTTCTCATTGCCGGAGGGGAAGGGAGAGAGAGCTGCTGCATTGTGGTTGGCTGCCAACCAGGCCTAAACCACAACACCTTGGTGAGGTGGGAGCTGAGCCGGGGACTTCTGCTGGGACACGGAGCCGTGTCCCTTGGGTGGAGGCGCTTTGGGACAGCCCAGCCCCTTCCAGCAAGGGCAGAAGCGACACACTGGGCTAAGACTTGTGTTTATGGGTGGAAGGACCATGCCTTGGGACAGCTCCTGTTCCCAGCCACAGAAACAGCCCGTTTGCTCGTGAAACAGTAGCTGAACCAACAGCTCTGCCCGTGGCTGTCGGTATCAGAGCCAACTGTGGGTGTCCCAGGGACCCGTTCGGGAGCTGCGATGCAGAGACAGAAGGGAGCAGGTTGGAACGGCCTCGGTGCTGCTCAACTCGACCACCTCAGCCGAGGGCCCCCAGGCTCCCCCCCAGTCCCACCCTGCTCCCTAGCTTAATGCAGAGAAACATCTCAGCTGTGCAAACTTCCCTCCTTCAGCCAGAGCTTTGGGCGTTCTCCAATCAGGGCTCGCATCGTAAGGACTCGGCCAAAACCTTAACTCTCTTAAAAATAAAAAAAAAAAAAAAAAATTTACAGGCAGCAGAAAAAGCCACGCCAGTGTCTATTGGTAAAATCTGCCTCATCGCAAACCTCTGTGCAGAATTTTCAGGACAGTGGTGATGACAACCCCAGCACAAGTGTTTCATTTGAAGGACAGAGAGACAAGGTCTCTACCTATTTATTCATCAGCAGGCTGATTTTTTTATTTTTTTTATTTTTTCTGCATCCAGCTCTGTTTGTTGGATGAAGCCAAGAAGGTTTTGGTCTGGATCAGGATACTGTGGTTGGTCTCTCGCTCTTGCGAGGACCAAACTGGGAAAATCTGGTCTCCCACATTTTTAAAAAGCCTGTGGGGATTTCAGCTGCCTGGTGTAAGGATGTTTGAAAACGATGTGAAGGCTGCTTTCTTTCATGCACTCTGAAAATACAAACTCTGGCTCCGAATTGACATGAAATTTGGACCACGGTTGTGCCCCAGTTAGCCCAGAAGACAGGTCAGAAAACAGAATTTCTGTTAAGCTTGCATTGTTTTGTGATTGGCAGAAAAAGCCAACGCTATTAGCAGAATTAATATTTCTGCTGAAAAACAATGAAATGTTTCCTTCGGATATCATTGACTGATGACCACAGAAAGGTGAAAGCATTTCACTTTGAAAATGACAAAAAAAAAAAAAATCTGATAGGGTTAAATAACAATAAGATTTCAATTCCAAAGTACAAAAGCCCAGAGCGAGTGTTTAAACCCGGGCTGGAGAGCAGAAGCAATTTATTCCAGCCCTTCCCAGCTGAAAATTTCGCTGTGATGGACACATTCCTGAGATAAATTTCAGTGTTGACAAAACCGCGTATTTTTTTCTGACAGGAGCCTTTCTCCTGAAGTTTTCAAGGCTGGCGAGATAACATGGGCTGACGTACTGCAAGGTGGCAAGAAGGGACTCGTGAGACCCCCAGGGACGTGGCTCAGCAAAGCCCTTTTAGAGCATTTTCCCCCCGTGTCTGTTCCGGCTCCAAAGAAAGCATCTGCATCGATAGTCAGAGGTCAGATCAAGCAATTATTCCCTTCTCTTATTTGCTTCCCTTTCCTGAAGTAGCTGGAGAAGCAACGGGGATAAAAGGCAGTCTCCAACCACACCCGTTGGGGTCATACCTGGTGTTAGCGGTGCCCACATCTCCCCCGCAAACCCATCGCGGCTCCCCGAGCTCTCATAACAGGAAGCAATAAACTTTCCAGCCAGGCTTGACTTGCTGTAGACCTTCCTGAACTCGTACAAAAGAATAAATTCAAAAAAAAAAAAAAAAAATCAATAAAAATCAGAGGAAATCCATCCTCTGGCAAAAAAAAGGCGGCGCAAAAGTTCACAGCACATCACCTCCTCCTGCTGCTGCCCCCGCGGCTGCTCCTCCATCTGCAGCTCACCCAGCAGGCAGGGGCAGGGGAAAAAGGTCAGGGTGCATGAGAAAGAGGAGGGAACGCTGGAAAAAAGTCAAGCGGACACATTTTTTGGCTTTTTCCCCTAACACCTGTGGATGGGCAGAGACGGTGCGTTAGGAGGGAGCTTGGAAGAGCCCCAGGAAAAGGGGACGGGAGAGAGGGGAACGAGAACGGAGGTTGGAAGCTCGTCCATGGCTTCTGGGCTCCACCCAGGAGCTGCTGGATGAGTTCCCCAGCTCGTGCCAGGCAACCAGAAAAACCCATTTTCCCCTCCTTTTGAGCTGTGTGAACACCACATTCCCAGTGTCAGTGTGGGGAGAGGGAAGGGGATGGGAGCGGGCAGCAACTCTGCACCGGGACAAACATCTTAGGCACGACACGAGGGTGAAGGCAGCAACCCACAAAGCAAAGGTGGAGAGGTTGTGTCCTCTGTGGATCCCCGCAAGCAAAGCAGGACATGCTCAACACCTCCTTCAGCTTTCCCCACCAACCCCCTCTTGCAAATACAGATAGTTTTTTTGTTTTGTTTTGTTTTCATGTGCAAAATGCTTTGCAACAGCCCAGGCAGACCGCTGACCCTGTGGGTTCGACTCTATTCTTTTTTTTTTTTTTTTTTTTTTTAATTTTATTTTTGTGGCAGTCTCGATGAGAAAAATGATGGTGTCATCTCTCTCATCACACACCTCATTCTGTCAGACGTGGGGGACAGCCACCGCAACAGGCGGGACAACCTGTAGACACCTGGCCGGGACGGTGAGGTTCAACCAGCCCCATCCCACGTAGCAACTCTCGGGATGGACTCTCCCACGAGAATTTAAACCGGGTTTGTATGGGTTGGAGCAACCCAGGGAGACCCTGCCACTGCCCTTGGCCCTGGCTGAAGGGAGATTTTGCCCCTGGTAAAGGGCAGTGTGACCCACCATGAACCATGGCCCCATTTGCCAAAGTGAAGACTCGACTCCGTAGCTTCAAAATTGATCCTGGGCTGACATCCACCTGCCCAAACCCCAGTGCAATAAGGGAAGAAGGCTCTGGATTGGGGATTTGGTGAAGGTTTCTTTCACCTCCGAGTGCAGGAGAAGCCCAGCATGAGAACTGGGTCCGAAGTTATCTTCATTTCTCTACCACCCCCAAAAATATCTGTAATTTGCCAACCAAAGTGCAGGTTAGAGGAACCGTCTCACAACCCCAGCAAGGACAGGAGTTTGCAGTGACCAAATGCCCCACAAATTGATGCAGGAAGGGGACCCACAGCATCCAGCCCAGGTATTTGAATCATGTCCACGCTCTGCCTGGTTCTCATGATGCTCCCTCGTGCAGCCTTGGCCATGCACCATGACCGCTGAGCGGCTGGCCTGTCCCACACCGTCCTTGGGGCAGCACTCATGCCTTGCTTCTTTAAACAACCATGTGGTTAAAGACCACGGGTGGGTGATTTGGAAGAACCAGTATGCTTGTGAGCAGATTTAAAGTCCATTTCCACCTGCTCGGGGGTGCTGAGCCCCACTCTGCGCTCTGCCCTACCAAGAACATAAGGCTGATCTCCTCAACCCACCATCCAGCACCTCAGCAATTGGCCTGCTTGTAGGAGCTGAGGTGAAGCTCAGGGAGCAGGACTTGTAAGATAAAACAAAATCTTATCTATCTGAACCAGGACATCGAAGACCCCACACCTCTCTGAAGATCCCAACACTCATCGCTGGAGCATCTATTTCCCAATCTCTTGGCTTTGGAGGAGCCTCTGACTTGCCAGGTCAGATAAAGGCATAACAGTGAGGCCACTCCATGACCCAAGTGTTGTGAAAAGAGGGAAAAGGGCCGGGGATGGCTGCCAAACCCTTCCCTCCGCCATACAAACCCATCCTCTCTCCCTCCTCAATAAACTATGTGCTGCAGAACTGCCACCTTAAATAACCAAAACCATCCTCCTGAGCTCAGCTCTGGCTACCTGGACACCAGACCCTTCCTCATGGTAAAAATATCCAACATCAGCTAAACAAGTATATTGAAGATAAGAACACAAACGCCAAAGAGAAAATACCAGACACTTGGATGCGATGTTAACAGATCATTTTCCCATTACTAAACATGGTTAAAAAGGAGGAGAGGGAGAGCCTCAAATGTGATAAATGAGGAAGCAAACAGGTCGGACATGCTCTTGCCAACTGTTCTTAGAAAACAGACAAAACAGAAAATAAAGGAAAAAAAAAAAAAAAGGAAACGTTATTACTGCAAGTGCTTTCCTATCCTTCTGGCTGGGTTCCCAGCATGACCGGAGCAGGTTTCTACTCCGCTCACCCAGATTTATTGTTACACCAGTAAATATTTAAATAATCGCTTAGGTAATTATACACGGAGATAATGATACGATCACGTTTACAGGCAGAGAAGAAGAAGATGAGAGAGAAGTGCCCGGAGGAGTGCCCAGTGCTGGGACAGTGGTACGGTACCTTCTCCGGGAGCCCTGGGGACAGGAGCATCGGTGAAGGCTGGCCGGTCTGATCCGAAGGCGAGCACGGAGTGGGAAAGGGCTGGGGAGCCTTCCTGGACGTGTTTACATAGGTGGGCCCCCACCCGCTGACGCCGGAGAGGTCAGCAGCTCCTGCCTCACATCTGGACGCCACTGGGTCCCCCCGTGCCAAGAAGGGAGACCACGTGTCTTTACGTCCCCTCAAAGCTCGCAGGACTGGAGGGGTGTTGAATCAATGTCCCTCCTTCCCCTCCGGAGGTAGGCAGTGGGGTGGAGATGGGTGGCATCCAGGGGGGAATGGAGCCAGCCCCCTCTGGCCCTGGGCTGTGCTGATGCTCTGAGGTTGACTCAGATCTGCAGCGCTAGAGGTCCAAGCCCTTGGGCGTCCCATGGGGTGCTGGTAGCACCTTCTCCACCTCCTCCGCCACATCGGGTGTGAGCAGACCCCTGCCTGGCTGCCATGCTGGGCATCCAGCTATCCACACCTACACCAGCACCACCAAACCCTACACCAGCACCACCAAACCCTACACCAGCACCACCAAACCCTACACCAGCACCACCAAACCCTACACCAGCACCACCAAACCCTCTATTGGCGCCACCAAACCCTACACCAGCACCACTAGACAATATGCCACCGCCATCAAACCCTACACAACCTCTACCAAACCCTACACCAGCATGACCAACCCCTACACCACCACCACCAAACCCCACAGCACCCCCAACCCATGATGTCCCCAGGTTGGCACCATGGGCCTGAGGGTTTGCCTACGTCTCATCGTGCCCCAGGTATGGAGCAAAGGCAGACAACCCCCCCTTGGCCTTGCTGTCTGCCCCCTCCTACCAAAGGATGGGCTGAGCTGGTCCCTGCTACCCAGTTGCCTTCACTCCACGCAGTGCTGGGTGGGAAGGAGCCAGGAGAGCTGGGCTGCACCCAGGTGATCTCAGAGGACCATCACGGGATGGCACCTTCCTCGCTGCAGCATTGCCCTCCCAGACACGGGACCTGCTGTGTGACCCTGGCCGTAAGGGAGCAGAATCTCTTATGGCCTCAATCCTTGATGAACACGCGGGGCTGTTGCAGGTTTTCGGTCCCGAGGTGGACAGCCACGCTTGCTGCCCCTTGGTTGTGCTTCCACCCAAGCGTGCACACTGCCCTGCAACAGGTTGCTCCGGGGAGCAAGCAGCAATAAAAAGCTGGAGAGAAGAAAGGGCAATACCGAATCCAGCTGTGAAAACAAAGACTAAAACCCGCTGAGCCTACAACCTCCCTTGGCCAGCACGCGGGAAACTACACGCCAACATTAATTCCTCTCCCCACGTCCATCCCACAGATATTTTTTCATGAATGAGCACGTCGAGGCGGAAGGGGAAGAGCCAGGGGGGAAGATGTGGGAGGGGGAGGTGGACAGCCCTTCCACGCCTTTTACACGGGGGAACTTCTGCAGCTGGTGGAGCAGCAGGGCCGTGGGGCCGAGCCAACGATGCTTCAGTGCTCGGGGCCGATCCGCAGCCTGAGCCAAGCAGGCAGCTAGATGAGTTTTTTCTCTCTCTTTGCTTATACAACAGGCTGGTCCTGACGGTGGAGATCTTCCCGAGAGAGAACCGGGCAGATGGTTTTGCTAGAGAAGTGAGGGGCTCGAGTGGATCCTACCCTGCCCACACCAAACCCGCCAGCACCCACTGGGATGCAGTGGGCTCCTGCTGCCAGAGCAGGGACCCCTGGCATCGCTGGGGCTTGCACAGAGGGGGTCGAGCACCCCCATACCAGGTACTTGCCTGGTTCCCAAGCAGGGAGGCACGAAGCCGCACTGTGAGGCTGAGGATGGGACACAGAGGATGTTACGGCAACGGTTTCAACGGCAATAATTCTAAAATCCGCCCACGAGACTCAGCAAGCCCCTTCCTACTCTCCCAGTCTTGAGCTTACATTTCCTTTCTTCCACACTCTCTGCCAGCCCAGAGCCAGTTCAGCCTCCTCTGCTAATCTGAACACTAAATGTCCAAAAATTGCTAAAGAGGATGGACGATGCTGCAGAAAGAGGGTGCAAAAGAAAAAAAAACAAAACCCACAAAAAACCAAAACTGATTCTCCTTCACTGTGCAATAAATATCCCTTAGAAATGCCAAGTCAGGGTTGCTGAGCTCCAGGCAGCTACTGGGACACGTCTAGGTTTGCTGCTGGTCAACCGAGGTCCATCCTCTTTGCTGCGGATCTGATGGTGGCCGCTGGCTGAGCACCCAGCCCACCACATTTCAGTATTCCAGGAAACCCCCTGGAAATTTTCTGGAGCGCAGTCAGTGACCTGGCCATTACCAGAAGCTGGGGAAAGAAGATGAAGTTGCGGG